CAGCCTGGCCACTAGAGATGAGAAACCCCATCTCTACTAAAAATACCAAAAATGCCAAAATTACAGGCATGGTGGCACATGCTTGTAATCCTAGCTACCTGGGAGGCTGAGGCAGAAGAATCGCTTGCACCTAGAAGGCGAAGATTTCAGTGAGCCAAGATCACACCACTCCACTCCAGCTTGGGCGACAGAGTGAGGCCATGTCTCAAAAAACAAAACACACACACACACACACACACACACACACACACAGATGAATGGATAAATGGGGTTTATAGTTGATATTGTTATAAGTTGTGAAGCAAACCCGCCCCTGCCTAAATTCACTGATTTGTTCATGTCATTTATTCGTAAAATGTTTGTGGAGCCTTTGAAACATCAGTTGGGTGGGGTGGCTCATGGCTATAATCCCAGCACTTTGGGAGGACGATGAGGGCAAATCACTTGAATCCAGGAGTTCAAAATCAGCCTGGGCAACAGGGCAAATCCCTGTTTCTGCAAAAAATAAAAAAATAGAATAACAGCTAGGCAGGCATGGTAGTGCGTGCCTGTAGTCCCAGCTACTCGGGAGGCTGAGGTGGAAGGATCACTTGAGACCTGGAGGTCAAGGCTGCAGTGAGCTGAGGTCATGCCGCTGAACTGCAGCCTGAGTAACAGGCTTTGAGTGGGACCCTGTCTCAAAACAAAACATTAAGTGGCCTGTGCAAAATGCTGTGAGGCACATAGGAAGAGCTGGAACCAAGCCTCCCCACCACCATGCCTTTACTCATGCTGCTTCCTCCACACGGAACACATCTCCCTCCTGCTCATCTTCCCCTCATCGTATCTGAGACTCAGGTAAATGGTGGTGGTGAAATCGGGGCAGGCTTCCCAGAGGAAGAGAGCCCTGGATAACCCACTCCTCAGCTCCCTTAGCCCTCCCTCATCTCTCATTCTAACCTCATGGGAGATGCGAGGGTGTGGCTAGGAATAGAGCTGGGTCCCCAGAGCCGGGAACAGTGCCTAGTATACAGTAGGTGCTCAATTAATGCTTGCTGAGTAAATAAAATGAGTGACTTCATGAAGGAACAAGGTGGCATTTGCCATTCACAGCCTCAGGATGCTGCTAAGATTTAGTGAGTGGATTAATGTGCTGGAGTGCATCAGGGCTCCACACGGATAAGGAAATGAAGGGGGCCAGAGATAAGGCCCATACACCATACGGGGTGATCTGCTGTGTGTCGGTGCTGGGTGTATACACGAGAGCTTGCATTTGCTTGTACTTGCTCAGATATTTGCAGCAGTGGCTGGCTCATGTTACCAGGTCAGGCAAGTGCCTGCCTGTACACGGATATGAGCATGCGTGTGTGCAGAACATGTACACCATTTAAGTGCAGGGGGGAGTCTGCACATGTGTTTCCGGGAGTGGGTGTCACTACATCGGAGACACATTGTGTGTGCGAGCTTGCGGGTGATAGGTGAAAAACACATGTATTGATGTTTGCACGTGTGCGTGGATGCGGATCTGTGGCAGCTGCATTCGTTTACCTGCATACATGTACACTCATGTGCAATGAAATACCCAGATGTGTATTTACTTGTATGCGTCATCATCCCCTTGTAGAAAGGGGCTGGTTTGAATGTCCAGGCAAGTGTTGTCATATGCGTACGTGGCCTTGACATGTGCTTATATGAATATATGTGTGCTTCATGGGGTTGGGGACCGTAACAGATACATATGGGTGCATGTCTGAGTGTGAGGATATGAGTGGATTTCTTTCTTTTTTTTTTTGAGACTGAGTCTCTCTCTGTGGCCCAGGCTGGAGTGCAGTGGTCTAATCTCAGCTCACTGCAACCTCTGCCTCCTGGGTTCAAGCGATTCTCCTGCCTCAGCCTCCCGAGTAGCTGGGACTACAGGCATGCCACCATCACGCTGTCTAATTTTTTTTGTCTTTTTAATAGAGACGGGGTTTCACCATATTGGTCAGGCTGGTCTTGAACTCCTGACCTCGTGATCCACCTGCCTTGGCCTCCCAAAGTGCTAGGATTACAGGCGTGAGCTACGGCGCCCAGGCTTTTTTTTTGAGACAGAGTCTCTCTGTTGCCCAGGCTAGAGTGCAGTGGCGGGATCTCAGCTCATTGCAAACTTCCACCTCCCATGTTCAAGTGATTCTTCTGCCTCAGCCTCCTGAGTAGCTGAGATTATAGGTGCACACCAGCACACCCAGCCAATTTTTTGTATGTTTTAGTAGAGACAGAGTTTCACCATGTTGGCCAGGCTGGTCTTGAACCCCTGACCTTCAGTGATCCACCCACCTTGGCCTCCCAAAGTCAAAGTGCTGGGATTACGGGCCTGAGCCACCACGCTTGGTTGGATATCAGTGAATCCTTATGTGACATGTATATTGTGGACATTCATCAAACACACGTGGATACATCTATGTGTGTGCTGGCAGACACACACACGTGGGTTGCTGGGACCATGTCTACCTCAGCAGGCTGTGTCCTATATACATGTGTATGCTTGTGTTCACACAAGCGTGTGAGTACACGCGTGTGCCTATGGAGCGTATCTTTCCAGGCACATGGTCCGCGTGGAGGCTTATACATCCTAAGCATTTGTGTCCACACAGGAATAAGTCTGGGTATGAATGTGTGTAGAGATTGGCAAACGCCTGTGGGTTCCCGGTGGAGGGGGAGGGCAGGTATTTCCTCAACTCGAAGGATGAGCTCAGGCAACGGCAACCCATCTCAGCCTAGCTTCCCTCCAGCCAAGCCCACCCCAACACTCTCAGCTCGGGCTCAGCCATCCCAGCCCCTCCCCTCTGGGGGCTCGTCCCACCTCTCTCTGGGAGGCTGGCCTCACCCAGCACTTCTCCCTCTCCCCACGCTCCCTGCCTCCTACTCCTCCTCACTCCAAACTCACACCTCCCTTTACACCTCTGGGCCTTACCTCCCACCCTGCTCAACCTCTTCCCCAGCCTTGCCCCTCCCAGCGACTCCATTCCACTCAGGCGGCGACACCTCCCTATAAAGTCCACAGAATCCAGCCCAGTCCTCCCCGCGAAGCCTCTGTTTCTGGAAGCCTCATCCCTCTTGCCTCCTGCTGCCTCTCCCTTAATGCCACCCCCGCAGCCAAGCCTCCAGTTTGCGTCAGAGTTAAGGGTGAGATCCCCGCCTCCCCCCACTCTACTAGGCAAACCTTCCAGAGAAACCCAACTTGGAGGATGTGAGGAAGGGTGGGGCGGGGTGCTGGGGGGAGAAGAGAGAGGACGGAGAAGTCGGTCAGGAACACCCACGTCGGAACCTCCTCCAGTGCCACCCCTAGAAGCCCGCAACTTAGAGCAAGGGGAGAGGTCAGTAGGGGGTCTGGACATTCTTGTTCCCCTCTTTCCGTCCTCAGGCCTAGGCGGTGGGGGGCGCCCAGGGGTCTCCTTCACTTCCCTACTTGGCTAACTCCATAGGCCGGGAGGCTAGGGGCTGGAAAAGTTGGCCTTTGACTCTAGGGACTCTTCTTCCATCACCCCCAGCCCCGTCCAACAGAAAAGAGCTCAGAGAAAGGAGGCCCCTGTCCCTTTAAGAGCACCCGCGTCCACGCCGGCCCAGCCCGGCCTGATTTGCACTCGGGAAGCCGCCGCGGCGGGGAGCAGGCGGGCGGGGCAGGGTTTGTGAATGAAGCGGCCGAGGGGGAGGGGAGGGAGGAGGAGGGGCGGCGGGGGCGGTTCCCGGCTCCCCTGCCTGCCCACCCTGGGTCCAGGCTGTCAGAGTTCAGCACACACGCGCTTCCCGTCGCCCGAGGTCTCCCGAAGCCCGACGTCTCAGGCTTGGCCGACACACCCCTTCCCCTACCCCAGCCTTCTTGAAGCAGGTGGGAGTGAGGGGGACCCCAGGCCTTAAGAACAAGGGTTCAGAGCTCTGTAGGCGTTGAACGGCGGGCCACCCCCATCCCTGCCGCCAAGGTCTCTCAGAGCTTGAGTTCTCAAACAGGAGTGCCCAAGACGCCGGGGTTCGGGTGGGCTGGCTTCTCCTCATCCTCAGAGCCATAAAGGTGTAGGGTGGGGGGTCATGCCCCTCCCACATCTCCCTCCCTCCCCAACCCCGAGCAGAGCGTGGGCCTGGGCGTGGGCCTCTGTGCAGATGGCGTTCTGGCCCCAAAATAGCTCCCCCACCAAGTCTCCCTCCTTTCCTCTCTCCAGCGCAAAGTGGGTGAGGTGAAGAAGGGCCGGGAGGGGGACCAGGGGACATTGCTCTTCCAAGAAGCAGGCTCCCTGTCGAGAAGGCCCTGAATCGTGTTTGGGAGAACCGGAGGGGCGGGGAGCGGGAAGACCTTCTGGCCATTCCTCCAACCCCCATTCGGGAGGCCAAAGAGTTAACTGGGAAATCGCCTCCAGACCCCCAGTCACAGCCCTCCTTGGGCGTTGGGAGGAATCTCCTGTCTCCCCACTCCCCCCACCCCAGTCCTCTTTACACCCAGGGCTGGGGGAGTCCTAGAACTCGTGGATGTCCTGATGGCCAAGCCCCCTACCCATATCTTACATCCCCAGGACTTGGAGAACCCTCCCGCCGCACTTTGTTCCAATTTCCAGCCTGGTCCGCGTCCATGAGGACCGACAACCCAGCCCACACCACCAGACCCCTTCCAAGTACCCCGCAGGCTTCGATCAAACTACCCAGCCCAGACTCTTCCTCACCGACTCTAAAAACTCGATCTACACAGACGCCCAAGTCTAGAACCCCAGATCCCAGTCCGCGTCCACACGGGCCTCCGCATTCAGCCGCGTCCACACGACCCCTCAAGCAGCGGCCACCAGGACCCCCAAGAGCCCCCACCCCCGCCTCTACACGGATCACCCCCTCCGGCGCTCTGCCACGTCGACAAGGGCTACCCCTCTCAAAAGTCCAGCCGCCTGGACTCGGGTCACCCACCCACCCCAGGATTCCCCCCAAGAGCCGCATCCACGCGGACCCCGAGCCCAGCCCGCGTCCACACGGGTTCCCCCACCCCCAGCCTCGTCTTCTACCTCCAACGCAAAGCAGAGACATGTCTCCGGGCTCGCAGGCGGGCCGGAGGCGGCCGGGCCGGGTCTGTCGGGTCGGGCTCAGCGGCCGCTGGGCTGGGGCATCTCCCGGCTGCAGCCCGCGCTCTGCTCACGCCGGGGCCCGGCCGCCACCGGCCATCTTGGTTCAGCACCGGGGGCGCGGACAGCGCCTGACGTGGCGCTGATGCGGGATGGGCAGGCGGGGCCCAGGGACGCCTGATGGGGCGGGGGCGCTGCGGGCTGGGGGGGCGTTAAAGGGCCTGGCTCCGGGAAGGGGCGCCCCGCCCCAGACCTCGTTGCCTGGGGACACGGGGCGAGGGCGGCCCCCACGCAGGTTTCTTCCTGTGCCTGTGCCCCCAACCCATGCATGGACACTCGCCCTGAGGGCAAACTCCTCCCTGCAATACTAAAGCAAGTACAGGCAAATGCAAGCTGTTGTGTGTACACCCGGCACCCACAACGGGCAGATCGCCCAGTTCCCTGAGTATCTCTCTTCCTCTGTCTCTGCGTCTCTGTCTCTCTGACTCTGCTGTTCGGTCTCTTTCTCTCCCTGGGTCTCTGTTCCTCTGACTCTCTGTCCACTGCTGTCTCAGTCACGTCTGTCTCTCAGTCTTTCTCTGTACAGTCTTTCTGCAGCTCTACTGCATCCTGTCTAGGTCTCTCTTTATGTCTCTAAGCCACCCAGCCCATGGGTCCTTGCCTACACTCTGACTGGATCCCATGCTTCATGCTACTGTGTAAATGGAAAACTCCTATTTATCCATTAATGTCTTGTCTAAATATCCCCTTCTCCAGGAAGGCTTCCCTGACTGCTCCAAACTGAGCCTTTGTGCCTCCTGTCTGGACTCCACCCCCATCCCTTCCTCTGATTGGGCCCTGACCCCAGTGAAACTCTGCTCACCACCGCTCCCCACATCTTTTTTTTTTTTTTTTGAGATGGAGTCCCCCTCTGTTACCCAGGCTGGAGTGCAGTGGCACGATCTTGGCTCACTGCAACCTCCGCCTCCTGGGTCCTGCGTCAGCCTCCCTGAGTAGCTGGGACTACAGGTGGGAGCCGCCATGCTCAGCTAATATATATACATATATGTATTTTTAGTAGAGATGAGGTTTCACCATGTTGGCCAGGCTGGTATCAAACTCTTGACCTCAGGTGATCCACCCACCTCGGCCTCCCAATGCTGGGATGACAGGTGTGAGCCACCATGCCCAGCCCCCTCCCCATGTATCTAACTGGGCAGTTCCTTGTGGGTCCTTGCCCTGCTCACTGTATCGCCAGCACCTAAAACAGCGTGAAAGTCTGAGTCTCCTACCCCCCCCCCACCCCTGGCCACATGAAGGAGCCTCACAAATCCAGCAGGTGCATGGAGTTAGTTGAGTGAGGCCATTGTTCAAAACCCAACTCTGCCTGTCATCACAAGGCTGACCTTGGGCAGGTCATGTGACCTCTTTGTGCCTTAGTTTCCCCACTTGTAGAATGCAGATGATAAGAAGCCCTGCCTCACAAAGTTGCTGGAGGTGCTACATGAGTTAACATGTGAAAACAGTTGTAATTTTTGTTTTGAGATGGAGTCTCAATCTGATACCCAGGCTGGAGTGCAATGGCACGATCTCAGCTCACTGCAACCTCCACTCCCAGGTTCAAGCCATTCTCCTGTCTCAGCTTCCCGAGTAGCTGGGATCACAGGCGTGTGCCACCACGTTTGGCTAATTTTTTTGTATTTTTAATAGAGACAGGGTTTCACCATGTTGGCCAGGCTGATCTCGAACTCCTGACTTCAAGAGATCTACCCACCTCGGCCTCCCAAAGTGCTGGGATTACAGGCGTGAGCCACCGTGCCCGGCCTCAGTTATAGTCCTAATGCCTAATGGTAACCATGTTTGTAGCTCTCACTGATTTACATTTTTAAAAAATTAGCACAGCAAATTTTTGTATTATTTTTAGAGACAGAGTTTCACCATGTTGCACAGGCTGTCTCAAACTCCTGGGCTCAAGTGATCCTCCCACCTCGGCCTCCCAAAGTGTTGGGATTACAAGCTCATGAGCCACCATACCTGGCCTTAAATTTTTATTAAACATCAATTAGATACAGGTAAGCTGTAAGGAGCAGCAAAGACAGGCTTGGATAAAAAACAAAAACATTATCATCACAATGGAAGACCCAAGGGCTCCTCCCCGGTCTCATCACCCTTCCCTGCTCATGGAAGAACTATCACAAATTTTGTTTCTCATTCCTTCCTTTCCCTACAGTTTACCACATAGTTGTCAGCAAACAACACATAGTTACCTTTGTATGTTTCTATTTTTTTTGAGACAAGATCTCTCTGTGTCACCCAGGCTGGAGTGCAGTGGTGGGAGCTCCTGAGCTCAAGCAATCCTCCTGTCTCAGCTTCCCAAGTACCAGGAACAACAGACATGCACCCCAATGCCTGGCTAATTTTTTTTTTTTTTGAGAGGGAGTCTCGCTCTGTCACCCAGGCTGGAGTGCAGTAGCGTGATCTCAGCTCACTGCAATCTCCACCTCCTGGGTTTGAACGATTCTCTTGCCGCAGCCTGTGGAGTAGCTGGGACTACAGGCGCGAGCCACCACACCTGGCTAACGTTTTGTATTTTAGTAGAGACGGGGTTTCACTGTGTTAACCAGGATGGTCTCGATCTCCTGACTTGGTGTTCGCCCACCTCAGCCTCCCAAAGTGCTGGGATTACAGGTGAGAGCCGCCTGGCCCTGCCCTGGCTAATTTTAAATTTTTTTGCAGAGACAAGGGTCTCGCTGTGTTGCCCAGGCTGGTCTTGAACTCTGGGGTTCAAATGATCTATCTGCCTACCTTGGCCTCCCAAAGTGCTGAGATTATAGGCATGAGCCACCTCATGTGGCCTTGTTCACACTCTTTACTCATCTGGTTTTTGTTTGTTCATTTGTTTTTTGAAATGGAGTTTCACTCTTGTTTCCCAGGCTGGAGTGCAGTAGCACGATCTCGGCTCACTGCAACTTCCGACTCCCAGATTCAAGTGATTCTTCTGCCTCAGCCTCCTGAGTAGCTGGGATTACAGGCACCCACCCCCAATGCCTGGCTAATTTTTGTTTTTTTAGTAGAGACAGGGGTTTCACCATGTTGGCCAGGCTGGTCTCAAACTCCTGACCTCAGATAGTCCACGCGCCTCAGCCTCCCAAAGTGCTGGGATTACAGGCTTGAGCCATGTACCCAGCCTGCTAATCTATCATGTTCGCTCAATATGAATCTGCTGATATTCATCCATATTGCTACATGTGGCTATAAGGCTTGAATTTTTCAAGGCTGCATACTATTCTTTTGTATTAATCTGTTCTCCGGTTCGTGGACTTTTAGGTTGTTTCAAGCTTAGGTTTATTATAAAATAAGTTCTTTTGAGCATCCTCTGACTTCAAACTTGTGTGCTGGCACACACAGATAAGGACGGCTGGGCCAGAAAATACATATACATGGCCGGCGCATATTACGTATTTTGTGGCTGTAATCACAGCATTTTGGGAGGCCGAGGTGGGCGGATCACAAGGTCAAGAGATTGAGACCATCCTGGCCAACATGGTGAAACCCCATCTCTATTAAAATACACACATCCAAAAAAACTAGCTGGGTGTGGTGACACGCGCCTGTAGTCCCAGCTACTCAGGAGGCCAAGGCAGGAGAATTCTCTTGAACCATGGAGGCAGAGGTTACAGTGAGCCAAGATTGCACCACTGCACTCCAGCCTGGGGACACAGCGAGACTCCATCTCAATTTAAAAAAAAAGAAGAAAGAAAGAAAGAAAATACATGTATGCTCAGCTTCACCTGATAATGTGAAATTGCTTCGTTTATTGTGACTCTGGCAATTTCCGTCATACCAGCACAGTACAATCATCGGTTCCTCTATGTTCTGTTTTGTTTTCATTTTGTTAATGGTTTTTGTTTTTTTCTTGAGACAGAGTCTCACTCTGAGGCCCAGGCTGGAATGCAATGGTGCAATCACAGCCCACCACAGCCTCCACCTCCTGGGCTCAAGCGATCCTCCTGTCTGAGCTTCCCAAGTAGCTGGGACTACAAGCCTGTGCTACCATGCCTGGCTAATTTTATTCTTTTAGATGAGGTCTCCTCCCTGTGTTGCCCAGGTTAGTCTCAAACTTCTGAGCTCCAGCGATCCTCCGGCCTCTGCCTCCCAAAGTGCTGGGATTCCAGGCCTGAGCTCCCACGTCTGGCTCTAAGTTCTTGCCAACACTGAATTGCCCAGGTTTCTCACTGGGCCAGTGTGGAGGGAGGGAAGAGTGTCTAATTTGGGTTTTGGTTTGCTTTCTGATTGTTCTTGAGGTTGAACTTTTTATGTGACTACTGGTTTCTTTTTCTAGTGAAGCGCCTGTTCAAGACTTTTATCCATTTCTTCTTCTTTTTTTTTTTTTTTTGAGACTGCGTATCGCTCTGTTCCCCAGGCTGGAGTGCAGTGGCGCAATCTCAGCTCACCTCACCGCAACCTCTGCTTCCCAGGTTCAAGTGGTTCTCCTGCCTGAGACTCCCAAGTAGCTGGGATTACAGGGGCCCACCACCATGCCCAGCTAATTTTTGTATTTTTAGTAGAGATGAGGTTTCACGATGTTGGCCAGGCTGGTTTCGAACTCCTGACCTCAAGTGATCCACCCACCTCAGCCTGCCAAGTGCTGGGATTACAGGTGTGAGCCACCAAGCCCAACCTCAATTTTATTTTTTAATTGTTGTAAAATACACATAACAAAACGTATTTAATTTTTAAATATATATATTGAGATGGAGTCTCACTCTGTCACCAAGGCTGGAGAGCAGTGGCATAAACTCAGCTCACTGCAACCTCTGCCTCTCTCGATTAAGTGATCGTCCTGCCTCAGGCTCCAGAGTAGCTAGGATTACAGGTACCCTCTACCATACCCAGCTAATTTTTGTATTTTTGGTAGAGATGAGGTTTCACCATGTTGGCCAGGCTGGTCTCGAACTCCCAGTTTCAGGTGATCTGCCTGCCTTGACCTCCCATAGTGTTGGGATTACATTCACTATGTTGCTACGTTGTTGTGTGTTCCTCCACTCTGTCGAGTTCCAGAATATTTCCATCACCCTGAAAGAAACCCCTTCCTCATTAGTAATCACTCCCTTCCCCCCACGCCCAGCCTTGGGCTACCACTAACCTGCTTCCCATCTCTATGGA